AAAATCACTGTTAAGTTCAACAGCAGCAAGACTCCCACACCTCCCTGCCACCCCTGGGCTCAGGATTGCTAACAAAACACAAGCAGGCTTCTGGACTTTGAATCAGGAGTTGGGTTCTGTCACCAGCTTGCCCACTGCCCTGTCTGACCTCTGACCAGTCACTTCACTTCTCTCTACCCCTCTCTCCTGCTGCCAGACAATTGTGTAAGTTAACTGTTTAGACTGTGAATAAGGCACAGTCGCATGGTCCTACTGCAACTACTGTTACACTACTCTAATAACAATATAGTGAACATAAGGGAACAAAAGCAGAAAGGAAATGGGACCCATCCAGTTCAGGATGGTGCCAGTCCCAAGATCTGGCATGAGGAGCTCAACCTTCCCTAGGGCAATTTGTCTCTCTTATTTTCCAGACAACCACTTGATTCACTTCCACGCTGCACTTGTGCCTGAGGAGCAGAAGGAAAGCCAAAGTGAACTCCTCCTTCACCAGGGCCCAGGAAGTGACCTGCTCCACCTTGTCACCACGGGATAAATCAGGCCTTTCTCTGTTGAGAGTCCCTGTCTCAAGGTGGAACCTGCCTCAGTTGAATAGGCAAAAAGAGAAAGGAAACAAAAGCAGGCAAACTAAAACCCAACCAGACAGAATAAATGTACTGGCAGAAAGCACCTTATTCTCATTAGCCATGTGAAATGATATGCGAGAGCAACACTACAGGCCAGTAACAAGTTAACATTCAGTTACACGAGTTACCTTTTAATTCAACTCCATGAACTATACAACTGAACAAATAAAGCCAACTCTGAGACGTTTCTTTCTGTAGCCACAAAAGCCCCTAAGTACAAAAAAAAGCTTTCCAGTGTATCCCCAGGGGCTGAAGAGCAGAAGCAAACACAAAAACTACTCACTTAGCAGTGCAAAAGCAGCTTGCATGGAACAACATTTCAAGGGTCTCAGAGGGAGATGTATTTAGAGGGAAGCAAAATGTGAGGAGAGGCCTTTGAAGTAGAGGGAGGGAAAATGGATGGACCTTAGAGTATGTAACCCCCTAAAAACAGCAGGGTACTTCCTGAGAAAATAAGGCAATTGGCTAATCACCACAAATGCCTGTACATGAATGCATGGGGCCTGGGAAATGAACATGAAGAACTGGAAGTCCTTGCAGTCTAGGAATTATGAAGCGACTGGAATAACAGAGACTTGGTGGGATAGCTCATGTGACTGGAGCACTGTCACAGATGGGTATAAACTCTTCAAGGACAGGCAGGGGAGAAGAGGAGTTGTGCTTTACTTAGAAGAGCCATATGATTGCTCAGAGCTCCAGTATGAAACTGGAGATAGGCCTACTGAAAGTCTCTGGGTTAGGGTCAAAGCAGAGAGCAACAAGGATGATGTCTTGGGTGGGAAGGGGGTCTGCTATAGACCACCAGACCAGGAGGATAAGCTTTTTGCTTTCTTCAAACAGCTAGCAGAAACGTCCCGATCACCAGTCCTAAATCTCACTGGGGTCTTCAATCACCCTGACATCTGCTGGGAGGTCAATACAGCAGTAATAGGCAATCCAGGAAGTTTTTGGAGAGTGGTTTGGACAACTTCCTGGTGCAAGTGTTGGAGAGAACAACTAGGGGCTGTGCTCTTCTTGATCTGCTGCTCACAAACAGGGTGGGGAATATAGTAGTGGATGGCAACTTCTGCAACTGTGACCACAAGATGAGTGAATTCAGGATCCTGAGGAAAGGAAGAAAAGAGGGCAGCAGAATAAGGACCCCAGACTTCACAAAAACAGGCTTTGATTCTCTTAGGAAACTGATGGACAGGATCCCCTGGAAAGTCAGTCTGAGGGGGAAAAGAGTCCAGGTGAGCTGGTTGTATTTTAAAGAAACCTTACTGCAGGCACAGGAACAAACAATTCCGATGTGCAAGAAGACTAGCAAGCATGGCAGAAGACCAACTTGGCTTAGCATGGAACTCTTCAGTGAGCTAAAACACAAAAAGGAAGCCTACAATAAGTGGAAACTTGGACAAATGACTAAGAAGGAGTGTAAGAGTATTGCTCAGGCATGTTCCAAAGCACAATTGGAGTTGCAGCTAGCAAGGGACATGAAGGCTACCAAGAAGGGTTTCCATTAAGTATGTCAGCAACAAGAGGAAGATGAGAGAAAGTGTGGGTCCCTTACTGAATGGGAAAGACAAGCTAGTGATAGATGATGTGGAAACAGCTGAAGTACTCAACGCCTTTTTTCCCTTCAGTCAGCTCCCCAACTACTGCATCTGACAGCACAGTTTGGGAGGAGGCGAGTAGCCAACGGTGGTGAAAGAACAAGTTAGGGACTATTTAGAAAAACCGGATGTGTATCTTGGGGCTGAATGCAATGCACCTGAGGGTGCTGAGGGAGTTGGCTGATGTAATTGCAGAGCTGCCAGCCATTATCTTTGAAATCTTGTGGCAGTCAGGAGAAGTCCTGGACAATTGGAAAAGGGCAAACGTAGCGCCCAACCTTAAGGAAGTGAAGAAGGAAGATCCGGGGAATTACAGACCAATCAGCCTCGCGTCAATCCCTGCAAAGATCATGGAGCAGATCCGCAAGGAATCCATTTCTAAGCACCAGAAGGAGGAGACGGTGGTTAGGAACAGTCAGTATGGATTCACCAGGGGCAAGTCATGCCTGACAACCTGATTGCCTTCCATGACAACACGACTGGCTCTGTGGATGCAGGGAGAGGAGTAGACATGATATACCTTGACTTTAGCAAGACATCTGATATGGTCTGCCTCAACTCTTGCAAGCAAGCTAAGAAAGTCTGGGCTGAATGAATGGACTGTAAGGTGGATAGAAAATTGGCTGGCATTGTTGGGCTCCAAGAGTAATAATCAATGTCTTGATGTCTAGTTGGCAGCCGGTATAAAGTGAAATGCCCCAGGACTCGGTTTTGTTCGATACCTTCATCAATGACCTGGAAGATGGGATGGAGTACACCCTCAGAAAGTTTGCACATAACACCAAGAGGAGGGGGAGTAGGAGATATGCTGGAAGGTAGGGCTAGGATTCAGAGAGACCTAGACATATTGGAGGATTGGACCAAAAGAAATCTCATGAAGTTCAATAAGGACAAGTGCAAACAGACAGAACAAATCCCATGTACCACTACGGGCTGGGAACTGACTGGCTAATCAGCAGCTCTGCAGAAAAGGACCTCGGGTGACAGTGGACAGTAAGCTGGATATGAGCCAATAGTGTGCCTTGTTGCCAAGAAGGCTAATGTCATACTGGCTGCTAGGGGTGGGCGAAGCTTTGGTCACCAATTTGATTTGGAGAAGATTCGGCCCAATTTGGAGGCCAAATCACCGAATTTGAATCGAATCGGGAGACCAAAAAAACCTCAAAATCGATTTGGAAAGCAGTTTTTCAGGGAAACAAACTGAGAAGAGGGAGGGGGAGCAGTGAGGGAAATGACTGACATCTGTAGCTTGCCAGTGACTGTGATCTTTCCCCGAGTCCCCTTCTAATCATAGTGCTCTGGGGGAGGAACATAGAAACAGCACATAAGTCTCTGTCTGCAGCCTTTCTGTCCCTTTTGTGAGCTGTTCCTGCCTCAGCAACGGGAAGGTCCCCTGTTACAGGCTACCATCTCTACTGGTTTCATCCCACTGTGCTTTAACACACACACATCGTGAGTTTTGCTTGTCAGCAGCTTGAGGTGCAGTTTCCCAGAAACCCCTGCACTTATCTCCTTGAAACCTGGCAGGCTTCACGCCCTCAGAAGGGGCTACCGTCCTTGATGTTTTCAGCCAAATCTGACAAAAAATGACAACGTTATAGGTATTTCAGCGATTCCCCATTATAATCTATGGCCAAATCTCTCCGAATCAGTGCCAAATCTTCCGAAGCTGAATCAATTCAGGACAGTGATCTGAATCTCCAAATCAAATCACTGTTCTCTGAATCAGCCGAATCTGAATCAAATACTTCCCTATTCACACAGGCCTTCTGGCTGCATTAGTAGGAACCTTGCCAGCAAATCAAGGGAAGTAGAGGAGTACCGGTGTATTCAACGCTGGTGAAGCCACATCTAGAATACTGTGTTCAGTTTTGGACCCCCAAAGGATGTAGACAAATTGAAGAGAGTCCAGTGGAGGGCAACAAAAATGGTTAGGGGGCTGGGTGACACTACTTCTGTGGAAAGACTGAGGGAACTGGGCTTATTTAGTCTAGAGAAGAGGAGACTGAGAGAGGACTTCATAGCAGCCTTCAACTACCTGAAGTGGGGTCCAAAACAGAAAGGAGCTGGACTGTTCTCAGTGGTGGCAGATGACAGAACAAGAAGCAATGGTCTCAAATTGCAGCAAGGGAAGTTCAGGTTAGATATTAGGAAAAAAACTCACCAGGAGGATAATGAAGCACTGGAGCAGGTTACCCAGAGAGGTGGTGAAATCTCCATCCTTGGAAATCTTTAGGACCAGGCTAGATAAAGCCTTGGCTGGGATGATCTAGTTGGGGACGGTCCTGCTTTAAGAAGGGGGTTGGACTACATGACCCGAGTCCCCTCCTACCCTAAATTTTCTCTGATTCTACTTGGAGGAGCAAACATAACGCATGTTTTGTTTAACTGTGGCCATTCTTTGTCAGTGCATTACTCTCACAGAAGCTGCAGCTCAGCATTTTGGCATTCGTGTGTTCTCTGCAGTGCCTGGCTCCTTCCCTAAGGAACAATTATACAAGCCTTTGCCATTTTCAGCTAGTTTTGTTATTTGTTTTTAATGAAAAGCTTCCCGAATTCCCATTTCACACCATTTTGGAGCACTTCAGAAGATATCAAGTTCCAAGGTGCTCTAGAAAATTTCTGAAGGTAATGTGTTTCAGAGGACTTTATGAACGTTTCAGAATTAGGCTCTCGGCTAAGACTGTATTCCAGAAGGCTCCATAAGATCCTGAGTTTCCAGGTATCCTGAAACATTTCAGGGTGTTCAGAGTCCCAAATAACTTAAAACATCCCAGAAGGTTCTAATGATTTGACCTACTCAATACTTTAATCAAAACACATTGGTGGCGAGGATACGTTAGCGGTTTACACAGACAATACAGGGAGTGCAACAATGGCAAATATATCTAACAAGTTAAACTACTGTATACCTCCAAGTATGAAAAAATAAATACAGTTAGAAATCTGAGACTCGTTAGCCCCTTTGGCTGGCTGCATCTTTCCACGGTTCTTTTCAGCTTTCTGACTTAAGCCCCCGTGTCAAACTCCTTCAATCTTTTTGCTTTCCCAGGCTCCCTGAGTGTCATCTGTCTGTCATTGTGGTCCCACATAACTCCAGTCCTTCCTTCCACTTTCCCATCCAGAAGTGGGAGTGTGTGAACATGTGTTAGTGTATCCAGTATTCAGATCCAGATATACATGCGTCATTTATGGTTTCAGGACTCAGGAGTATACTCCCTTCCCTTCCATGCCCTTGTGCGTCTTGGGAAAGGTGTCTCCATCTCCCTTCCTCACTCAAGTTTCTCTCTCGGTCTGGGGTATATTGGCATTTTTGTCACACTCTCTTCCATGATCCAAGCATTTACTTGTCTCTCTCTCACACACTCTTTCTTAAACCCATCTCTCTCGCTCTCTCTAAATATGGGTATCTGTTATATACATAAATATATAACAGATATATAAATATATTCCTTTCTTTTTTTTTGTACACAATTATAAATCACAACATTTATACACCATTATTCTTTTTTTTTTTAATAGCTATGTAAACATCTTGGGAACAATGCTCAGGAAATAAAACCTTAGAAAAATATGTGATTTAATTCTACTTCAAAATATACTATATACATCTGCACCTATAAACTTTCTACAGTAGATTTCTCTCCCCAAAAATATATAATAAAATCAGTGCCAGTATTGTGTCACCCATGCATATCAGCCTTTTGCTGTACTACATAGGAAACTGTCCTGAAGACAGTGGGGCTCCTTCACCGTAGTTCCATGCCTAAAAGGTCCTGAAGGTTTTTAATCACATGTTGTGGTTGGCTGGCAGCGTGATCCAGTAAGGTGGGTCCCATCTCTTTGTGTAAGGTTTTAGCCAGTTTGCAGACCACAGTTCTGACATTGCCACTACGACCAGGTAGCACTCCATTTCCAATCATGTTGCTTAAGAAATACCAGAGAATGGGCAGCACGTGATGCTCCACAGCCTGAGGTTTCTGAGGGTACACAGAAGTCACAAGCACTGCAGGGCAGAAGATAAAGCATCTTAGCAGTCAAGATAAGCATGCAGCTTTACTCTTGGTCCCTCAGAACCATTTCCAGTCAACCACGGTCTGGAATTTAAGTGAGTGCAAACAGTCTGACTTTCTAAGGGCAAGCAAGCAGCAATGATGTGTTTAATACTTAATAGAACTACTGACCTCAGATGATCCTAATTTCTTAAAAATGGAGGCCTTATGACCAACACAGAAGCTCAGTGGAAGCGATTTATAAAGTTCTTGTAAATGCTGAGACTGATGACCTTTTGATTACAAGTGGTAAGTGTCAAATCTGTATTTACTGCCAATAACTAACCATCCAAAGCAGCTGTACCAAATTTCAAGTTTGTAGCTCAGAAGAGCATTTGAATGACTGACCTCCAATAACAAGAAGCTGAAGACCTTTGTATGCCTAATTTAGGGTTTTCCTGTGCTTAGTGGCCCATAACAAATGGCTAAACCAAATTTCAAAATTCTAAACCACAAAGGGCACTTTAATGGTTAAAATCTGACCAGGTAATACTAGTGAGCTATGTAGGAAAGACAGCTCTAATTTGAGATTAACCTGTTCAGTGCCTCATAATGAATGGCTGTTCCAAGTTTCAAGATTTCTGTCTACGCTCCTCATATAGCCACCTGCTTTATCTTACCTAAGCAATTCATAGTCTTTAATGCATTCATCCCCACAACATCCTATTGAACTAGAACGTGCTATTATCCTCACCTTACAGACATACAATGAGGCACAGAAAGAATAAGGAACATGCCCATGAAACTGAAGTAAGAAATTGAACCCAGCCTCCAAACTCTGGGATGAGGCCCTCTCCACTGGCAGTGCTTCTTCCCATCCTCCCTAAGATGTGATCTCACCCCAATTTCTGAACTTGATAGATAGCCATCAAAAAAAATTTTTTTTTAAATTAAAAAAAAAAAAGTTAAAAATCAACTGACTTGACAACTGTATATACCTTTAAGAGTTATGTGAAGTTTAAGAGAGAAAGCTGAGAGAGAGTCTGATAGCTGTGTGCGTGCACACAGCTAGCAGAAATCAAGAAAACTTTGTAAAAGTGGCTCCTGCCTGAACTGAACCCACAACATGACAACAGACACTTTCGCTAGTAGTTTTGACAGAGGACTGAGGACCTCAAATACCAGAAAGCTAAATTCTCAGATCCCCCCCATAGAGGTAAATCAAGGCACAATAGCTAGGCATGATGTGGGGAAAGTGTACACCATGCCATCCCATGGCCCTCTTTTTGTCTACACTCTTAGTCTGGCAACTTTCATCAGCATTAACATTCACTATTAAACAAAAAAAACTCCAACGTTAAGTAAAGGTCAAAGCATCCTTAGTAAGACATCAATGGGTTAGTCCTCATTAAAAAAAGAGAGTTAATTTGAATTCTTATGCTATTAAATACAACAGTCACCATGGATTTTAGGTGAGAGAGCTGTCTGTTCCCATTAAATCCCAGAGAGAACATCCACTGTTTCTAAACTGGCCCCAATTTATGTTCAAAGGATTTATTTGGAAAAAAAAAGAGATTAAAATTACTGTAGAATTACGTTGTGTTTACAGGGATTTACTTTATACAAGCTATCTTTAAAGGTCCCAATAGGTTTGACATGGCTAAAAAAGGCCTTTGGAGAGTCAGAATGAACAAGGAAACTCTATTAAACCTTAGATTAAGAGAGGCTGGCATAATTATCAGATTTAGTTCTTATTAAAGCAAAGCTATAATTAGGCTGCTTTTAGTGCATGTTGAAGTGATCTTTTTTCCATTCCTTGGATACCACCGGACATAACAAGCTGTTATAGGTCAAGAAAGAGCAATGTTTTTAGTCTGTTGGATTCAGTTGTTGTGGAAATAAGTTATCTTTATGCATCCTGAAATAATAGGAACAATGGGTCATGCTTCAGGGTGTAAATAGGCTGTCTGCATGTGTCACAAAATAGCCTGCTCATCCCCACAACCATGTAGTGTTTTGCAGCCATTATTTATATGCACAATCTACACTCATGCTAATGAACTCCAGGTTTGAGGGGGATTATGCCCTATTTTTTCCAGTGTGGTTTTCTAAACCAAACAGACCCCCGAAGTAACAAAATACCAGTGACTGGCACAAGGCTCAGTAGCCGTGTGTGGGTGTTTGAGGGCTGGCAGGAATGAACATTTGCCATTTGCTTAAGAAAACAGTACTGCTAAGCCAACCCTCACACTCAGGAATCAGCCAGAGCATTTTTAGAGTATATCTACACCAAGGGGCACTACTTTCAAGCATTCCCTGTCTGCCCAACCCGGCTATGTGCCCAACAAACTTGAACATGAAGCAATAAAGCCACTCTAGAGGTGCCCCACTTTTTGATCTCTGCTTCCTCCTCCTTAAAAGAGGCATGGTTTACCCTCTCACGTCAAGACTGGAAGCCTAAAGAGTAAGAAGAGTGCTTGAGAGCAGCCCCCCAGGAGCACCAGGGGAACAGTGTAGACACCCTTCATTTCCCTCTCTCAAGAGACACATTTTGAGACATCCCATCCATAATTCCTTGTTAGAGTCCATGAACCCAATTCTCCACTGCATTGGCTCCATGTTTTGTTATTTCCACTTCAACAATGTCAGCTTTACTCTGCTTACATGTACAGTGGCCAAATCAAGATGGCAGCATTACATGAATGCTTTGCACCACTGTACATGACTGCACAAGCTGTAGGTCTCTGAAGGATCAGGCCCCACACTTCCAGCTGTCCCAATCCCTGTTGCCTTGTTAATTCAAAGCAATTTCCTCTCAACATTTCTCATTTTCCAAGCATCTCCCCTAACAAGTCCCAGCAAACTACAGAAAGCAGAGTCCAGCTAAGGTGCTTGTTACCTGACAGGTGTTGTGTGATGTCCTGCATGGCTCGGCCACTGGTGAAACGCACTCTGCTGGCAAATGTTTGTAGAAGCAATACATTATCTGAAAGAGAGTCAGAAGCATGTTTGATCATTCTTCTTCAAAGAAGCTCATACCATGGGACATACAGAAACACTGGGAGTTTTCTTCTCACAAAGAAATTCTGGTCTCCTACCAGCACGTCATATTCACCACTGGGCAGGAAAAAACAGCACGAGGTCTAAGTATTACACAAACTGACTGAAGCCCATTAAGATTTCAAGCAGATGCAAGAGGTGGATAGGCCCTTATGATGGATCTCTGTACAGAGATAAATTGCATTCTCTCCTCAGAGAACATCTGGGCAGATGTAATATCTACAGCTCTGTTTGCATTTTACACAGCTAAAATCAGTTCCTTGAGTTGTGTTGCCCCTGCAGGAACAAATTATCTCATTATCATCACTACCCACAAGTCTCTCAAGTGCTTTTGGTATCACCTGCTCTTTCGGGGTGGGGGAGGGGGGCAGAAAGAGACCATTGCACTCAGATCTTGGCAGAGGGGAAAAAAAAGGGACCGATTTCCCAACACTTAACTGTGAAATATATTTTAGATTCTTCCTTCTTCTAGTTATTTAGAAGCTGTTGCACAGTGGCCTATAATCATTGCCCTGCCCTTGTGATCCTGTGGGGTCTGTTGAGCTAGGCAAGGATGTTCATGGACAGGACCATCCATAACGTGTCTAGATGTCACAGGAAGTGGTGCCGAGTCAGTGAGTGGCATGCTCCTTCTAAACCAGTATTGAGCCAAAGCCCCAACATGCTTTTAAGGGGCACTCTCTTGTTACAGGTATAGTCCTTTGCACAGAGACAGTAAATAAAAAAAGAGCTCTTTAATGATTATAATGTCTTTTTTTGCCCATGTATTTATAGGTGGATTGAAAGGGGAGGGGGGGTCATAGCTATGTTCCAACTTCAGTAATCACATTCTACCCACCTAAAATGACAAACAGACATTTCTTCCAGCTATAAACCACTGCGTGGGATTGATATGCACTGTTAAATGATTGCTGCGTCATACCCCACATATAAGATTTCAAAGCAACTGATGCAAAGGAGCAGCTGAAATGCAATTGAGCTTAGAGGTGTTACAGCTGTGTAAAAGATTAATCACTAGTATCAATAAAGTCTTACAGTTCACCTGAGTAGCTATCTTTGGGATCCCCTGTTGTTCCGGAAGCCAAGTATACACTTACTGCTTGCTTTGAGTTTAAAACTCTGTAACACACTGTGCATATTTGAGACCCTTGAGCTTGAAAGTGTCAATGACCAATTTATACAAGCTTTAATGCAGAACTGCTTGACACATAGAGCAGTTTGGAATGGAGGTTAAGGAGAACAACGCAGCAGGCCATATTGTTTTCAGTAACTCAGCTTTAACTTTCCCCAGTAAATACTAGATCAGCTGATAGGCTGCAAGGCAGTCTGCTGAATGTTAGAAAGGCTAGTAAAAGTAATGAGCTGCTTCCCTTGCACTTGCAAGCCATATTCTTGATGGCAGCACAAGCTTCCTTACCAGGGGACATTTCCCTGGAAATCAGGCACTGTGTCAGCAAAATCAGAGTATCATTACCACCTGTATAATGAACTCTCCATCCCCTCCCCACCAACCTATCCTGACAAATACCCGAGGTACATGCAGCATAAAAAATAATAACATGAACTACAGTAACAGGGTATTAAAATATAAAAGCCTCTCTATAAAGTTTAACAAATAAAACCAGTCGAGGGTTTAAAAAGCAAAACATAGTGATAGGCCTGCCATATCAATTAAGGCCAGTGGTCCGTCTAGGAGGTTTTCAAAAAAATAAATGAGAGTTAAGCTCCCAACTCTCATTGCATTCCTATATGAATTCACTTCACTGGAGCCAGTGCCTTTGAAATGATAGCCCCACTCTAGTGCATCGTGACAAACCAAATTAAGTTAAGCAACATTAGGTATATTTTGAATGATTAAAGCGTGTCCAGACCAGTTTGACTCATCTATATAGAAATCAATTTAGTGAAATCAGTTAAATGCAGGTGCAGGAAGGGTCTTCATGTGCCATGTGAAGACCAGGATAAAACTATTTCCTTTCTTCCTCCTTTTGTCGGCCTTGTTTGTTCAGAGGATCAGCTTTCAATGACAGGGAACTTCCCTCACCAGGTAACTGTTAAGATGCTTAACACAACAGGGCCCTGAGCTCATTTCAAAGCACTACTACAGTGCCCAGGATACTGAATTACAGCCTCTGGTGGTTAGAGGTTATATCCTGGGGCACCAGCAATTTATGAAAAGAACCAGAAGAACAAACAGAAGGACAAGTGTGGCCAAGCTACAAAACCCAAGCACACAAGCAGAACCTCTAGAGTATGAAGGGTTTACAGTACTTTTACCTGGGGAGAGAGATATGAATGGAGACGGATATCAGGGGACAAGTCCAAGGAAAGTTTGGCACCTGATGCTGGGGATTATCCAGATCCCACTCCATTGTTGTTTCTAGATGGATGCTGGGTCTGATAGTTTTAAGTCAGGCTATCAGATCCCTCCATAACCACCTTGCATTGCTGTATGAAATATTAAAGGTAGCAGAGGAGGAAGTGCCTCAAATGCACATTTTAATGCAAGCCAACACCCAGGGTTTCCAAGCAACAACTGGGATCCAAAGGGTGGGAGCAAGCCAAGATTCTAGGGGTGCACACAACTCTCCCCTCTTCCAGATTAGGAAAGTTTGAAGGACATCTTTAAGACTTTTCAAATCTCTTTAAGGTTTATCTTTTCTATTTTGTTTTGTTCTAGGCTTCAGGATTTTTTTTTTAAAGGAGAAAGTAGCAGGATTTAAGGACAAGAGGCTAGAATCTGTCCACACAACTTGCCTGCATCCTCCCCTCCAACTAAAAACCCAGATTTCTCAAATCTGGGCTGCTTAAGAGCCACATCTGAATTTTGCAAATGGTGCCTACCTTTATCACCAACAGAACCAAAGGCCTGGTTCCAAACAACCCCAAACTTCGTAGCTTGAATTCATTTGTAGCACAGGAGCAGAGACAGATGAGTTTTGCCCAGTTCTACTACTGACCCTTGACAGTGCTTAGTGTATGATGTCTGAATGGTAGTCAGGTGGTGGGGTAATGAAGATCTTCAGGAGACAATTTGCTTGGAGATGACACTTGACCACCAAGATTATGGGTGCTGCAACTCTTTTACATTTGCTTACCTCCTCTCTGTTAGCTAGTGTGGGGAAGGAATCAGGTCCTTTACCTGTTATTGAAAGGCCAGGATCAAGGGTGGTACAATCTGTCTGATATAATTCTCTTCCCTTTACAATCAGGGACAACCTGGCCCAAAGTCAAAGGACAAAAGCCAAAGGGCAGACAAATTCACTACAGCTGCAGAAGAGCTCTGGACCTCTGGTGCAAAAAGAGTTAACAACTCCATTCTTTTAAGGCCTGTCTCTTGAACGCACTAAATATTTCAGGTATATTCATGCAGTGCAGTATTTCCATAGCCGATATAAATCTAGGTGGCAAGTGGATTTACAGCAGACCTTGGTTATGTTGTTACTGGCAATAGCAATCACTTCCTATGCAAAACAACATTTGGAACATGCCATCCTTTAGGACTGGATTTATACTTGTTTATTCTATAGAAATGAACTCGGCAAATCATAAATTTCTTTTTAAAAAAGGAAAGGATGGACTGGAGAAATTTTTGAAATGGAGATAGAAGAGAGAACTAGCTAAAGCCCATAATTCAAGATTTCCTTTGAGGCCATTCAGCAGTAGCAATTCTGGGTAAAAGCCCCTGTCATATCAACACCAGGACAACTCACCCAGGAAGTGAAGAGGGGCTTGAACCACCTTTGACATCCAAACTTTCCACTGTCCTTGAATTGTAGGGATGTTTGGTGCCAGGCTTTATTGCTCAGCCTCATCATACAACAGACCAAATCAATAGCCCAGATCCAGTGGCCTAATAACTCTGGGAAAACTTGGGTGCAGATTTAAGCTTTTCTGGGAATCTGGGGTGTAAATGTTTGAACATAAGAGTAGTCTGTTCCAAATGAAGTCAAAAAGAGCTGCGAGTTCTCATGATATGTGAATCTAGCCTCAGCCCGTGACTTGGGCATTTGCAGCTCACTCTGCAGTTCACCAGGGTATAGATATGAGCCCTACATGAAATGGAAGCCTGTGCTTCTTCAAAAGGGGAACTGGATCAAAATATGTTAATGCATCTGGGTCTTAGTTCTGGTAATAAGTACTAGCATTGGAGACTGAAATTCCCTATTCACAAAACAGGGTGAATGAAGATAGTTCAGCACTCCACCAGTATGTTTTCTAACCGAAAGCCAGACGACTGAAAATGCCAGAAAAGAGACCAAACAAGCTGTAAAATCTGTCCCATCAAAAGCACGCTGTCACCAATAAAATCACAAATATAATTAAGTATCCATCAGATAGTAACAACTGTTGCTTGGGGATGGACTGGAACAGAGGTACTAGAGGTACATGCTCACTCAGTGCCAGTTCCATGAACCTTGTGGTCATCCATGCTCACATCTATTGTGAGTACTTTATGCCAGGAAACACTAAGCCATGAAGCAGAGGTGAGAGAAAGTATTTTAGGAAGAAAAAATAATCATCTCAGAGCATTTCAAAACTCCCTCCCCCTCACCCTTCATTTTCTAATTTTTGTCCTTCAATCATTTTGAATTTTTGTTCCAAAAGGTAAAAGAGAATGAGGACTCTCTTCTAGCTTTTGGAACAAAAATTCAAAATGATAGTGGGACAAAAGTAACTCACACTAACAACTCTGGGAAAACATGGGCACACATTTAAGCTCTTCTGGGAATCTGGGGAGTAAATGTTTGAACATAAGAAAAAAACTAGTGTAAGAACATATGTATGCATGTGCATGCATGTTCCGGTCTGTGAGAATGTAAGAAGTACATATTAGTACATCTGAGATCAGCTTTGAGAAGCAGAGCACAAAGGAATAACTCCCAACACGTGGTTGAGAAGCATACTGCTCAGAGGTGAAGATCC